CCTGAGCAGCGGGTAGCTTTTGTGACCCTGAGACAGAGACGGTGTGAGGCGCCAATTGTGACCCCGTTGAAGGGTTTTGAGGATTTCGTGGTTTATTGTGATGCGTCGATCATGGGTTTGGGTGCAGTTCTAATGTAGAGGGGTTGTGTGATTACAAACGTTTCGAAGGAGCGGAATCCTCATGAGGTGAATTATCTGATGCATGATTTAGTGTTGGGGGTTGTAGTATTCACCCTCAAGATTTAGCCACATTGCCTCTATGGGGTCCTCCGCTGTACTATTTAGACAGATCACAAGAGCCTGAGGTATTTGATGGATCAGCCGAATATGAACTTGAGGCAGTGCTAGTGGTTGGACGTGGTGAAGGATTATGATTGTGAGATCCTTTACCATCTGAGGAAGGATAATGTGGTGGCTGATGCTCTCAGCCACAAGGCGGTCGCGGCTCCGATCAGAGATATTTATATGAGTATGACAATGATTATGCCACTCTTGGAGCAGATTCGAGAGGCTCAGGTTGAGGCTATGCAAGAAGAGCACCAGAAGAGTGAGAGCATAGTGGGTCAGGTGGCTTCCTTCGATTATGATAGTCGGGGGTTATTGAATCTCCATTGGAGAGTGTGGATTCCTTATTAGGGTGGTACGCGTCAGGTTTCGATGTAGGAAGCACAAAAATCGAGATTCTCCTTTCATCCCGGGGCGACGAAGATTTATTGAGAGCTTCGCCCTGATTATTGGTGTTCCTGTATGAAGCGGGATGTAGCTTGGTATGTGGAGAGGTGCTTGACTTGCAGGAAAGTCAAGGTCGAGCATCAGTAGCCTCATGGAAAGATGCATCCATTAGACATCCCCATTTAAAAATGGGAGGAGATTACCGTGGATTTCATTACGAAGTTGCCTCGGACTGTGTGTGGAGTGGATTCGATTTGGGTCATCGTGGATCGATTGACCAAGAGCGTGCATTTATTCTTATTCAAGAGAGTACCTCGATAGAGAAGTTGGCCGAAATATACATCAGGGAGGTTGTGGCACGGCATGGGGTGTCGATTTCAGTGGTTTCAGATAGGGACGTCCGGTTTACTTCCAGGTTTTAGAGGAGATTTCATGAGGAGATGGGTACTCGTCTGCATTTCAGCACTACTTTCCACCTATAGACTGATGGATAGAGCAAGCCGACTATCCAGACCTTGGGGGATATGCTTCGGGCATGTGTATTGGATTTCGGTGGGGGTTGGGATACGTATCTTCCTTTAGCGGAATTTTCGTATAACAACAGTTATCATGCCAGAATTGATCGACCTCCTTTTGAGATGCTCTACAGGAGGAAATGCAGGACCCTGATATGTTGTGGTGAGGTCGATTAGCAAGTTATGGGGAGTACCGAAGTGGTACTCAAGACTACCGAGTTGATTCAGCAGGTTTGGGGTAGACTCCAGACAGCTCAGAGTCAGTAGAATAGCTATGCCGACAAGCACCGATCAGATCTAGAATTCCAGGTTGGGGGCATGGTTCTCCAGAAGGTGTCACCTTGGAAATGTGTAATATGATTCAAGAAGAGGGGCAAGTTTGGCCCCAGGTACATTTGTCCTTTCAGGATTTTGGCCTAGGTGGGTCGAGTTGCTTATCGATTGGATCTTCCCTAGGATCTTAGTCATATCCATAGTACGTTCTGCGTCTCTTGAAGGATATGCAAGTAGATGATCGCCTAAATTATATCGAGATACCGAAGGCGATTCTTGACAAAAAGACGAAAACCTTGAGGAACAAGGTTTTGGAGTTGGTGAAAGTTCAGTGGCACCATCACAAGGGGTCAGAATGGACGTGGGGGCCGGAGGACGAAATGAGGGAGCACTTCCCAGAGTTATTTGGGGCAATGGACTTCGAGGACGAAGTCTGATTCAAGTGGGGGAGAATTGTAACATTCAAGATTTGGTATGCATGTTTTTAACCATAAATGCAAAATCTATCTCATTTTACTCTCCAGCTAGTATGTGGGGCATACTCAATGAGTACACATAGCGTACTAGCCCGTTTTTGGATCGCGCATGTACCCACGTACGTTGGGCGTATGTGGGAGTACGCATGGCATATGCAAGGCAAGGGAAAACTCTAATTTTTAGGGTTTTTTCCCTATTTAAGCAACTTATATCACCTTTGGACCTTATAATAATCAGCCTCCATCCCGTTTACCCGAATATCGAAACCATATGTGTCATTTGTGAGCTTTGAACTTGAAAGTGAGTTTTGGTGGTGTTTTTGGGGAAGTAGAAGAAGAATAACACTTGGAGGTTGCTTGGGAGTATCGTGAGCTTGTAGATCCAGAGTCATCTTGATCTTTGTAAGCCATTTGAGGTAAAAATCTCTCATCTTGATGGTTCTTTGTGCTAGATCTAACTTAGGTTGCTATTATTGCATTTTTGGATCTTTTAGACCATATTTGAGATTATGGTCTACTCCAGAATCCATAGAGGTTAGATCTTAGCACATTTGGGGTCCCTTGTCCATAAAAATGCAATCTTTATGAGTTATTTTGGTCTATGCATGAGTTAGGTTCTTTGTTATGATTCTTTTTAAGTTTTGAGTCTTATTAAGTCATGCATTGGAGTAAGATTATAAATTTAGCCATTTTCATCCAGTAAATAATATTTAAGTATTTGAAAAATCTGTTTGAAATTGTCAAGTTGCAAATAGTTAGTAACCAAGATCAGATTATGGGTTATTAAATGGGAAAATAAATGAAAATTATAAATTGGAAAACCTGTTCCTAACGAGCCCAACGAATTCATAATTGGAATTAGGGGGTTCTTTTTGATAGATTCTTTTATCACATTGGGAGATTTTACATCGTTGAATGGGCCTCATTAGGAGTTCTTTTTCGTTTAGTTTCAGAATTTGGTTGGGGAGTTTCACTCTGGGATGGGCCAAATGTTGCTAAGGTATCGTTGTTTGAGAGGAAAGAGTGACTTCAAGTAAGAAAGTGAAAGTTCAGTCCTTACTGCCAAAAAGAAGACAACAACAATCTGTACTACTTCTCTCAATAAATAACATTCTCTTAGTTAGAGAGTAAGTAGATAGTCGTATTAGTACTTTTGCACAGGGGTAGCATCCTTGTCGCCAAAGAAGAATGAGAATTGATAAAGTTTTCTTGGCCTTCAATAGAAGAAGCAAAGAAGTCAAATCAATGCAACTTTCGTGCCCAGCCTAAAGATCCTATCCTCGCAGCAGCTGTAACTCTTGATGGCACGTTCAAAAGAGTTTATGAAAGAATGAAATCAGTTGAAGGAGCGACCAAGTACGAAAGCTTTGATTGCATTCTGCTATGGTTGGCTTTTTTCCTTGCCTAAAACAACTATCTTCTCTTCGCGAACGGTTAAGAATCCACTTTGTATACGCGTTCTCTCTTGTTTATTCTTCTAGTTTTTCCTTTCTTATGCTTATGGGTGAGATTCCCTTTCTTCTTAGGTTGTCTGTAAGTCTAGTTCGTGGTTCACGGGTGAGGTTACCTGGATAAGTGGGCAGTTCCTATTGGTCGACCTAAGACACCTTTAAGAGATATAGCTCTAACTCTTGACGACACGGGCAAGACAGTTCATGAATGAATTTTTGACGAACATTACATACAATTCAATTAAGATATTGTATGAAACTATGATTTCTTATATTCTCCTTTGAGAATTGGAGGATCTCTAGCATGAATAATTTTTGCAAATGATGTGATCTTAGAGCTCGCTTACACTAAGTATAGAGAGAGCTCTAATATCTCTAGCTTGAACATCCGGAACGGATTCTAAGGACTTATCAACATGAGCTACGAAAACACAAAAGCAAGAACGATCGAAACGAGCTCGAATACGGGACTCATTAGGGAACATATGATTTTCCTGTCTTTCAAGGGGTTGTTGCCAACCCAAACAATAAAATATGTACATCAGGATGGAAATCAATAGGCGCAGGCAGCGGATATCACCGCATTTCTCACATGTCATTATCGACAATCGAGGGTTGACTTTCTATAACTCGAACGAAGAACAGGTAGGACTAGCCTCAGCCGCTCTTCAAGGGTTTGCTTAGCCGGGATGGAAGGCAGCCGGAAAGTGAGTTTTCTGTTACTAAGACAACATCAATGAACCATCAGTCGTTCATTAAATAGGAGATCTAGAATGGAAAGTACAACAGCCGCTACTATAATTTCAAACAAGAACCGAGATGAACCCGAAGACAGAACCCTCCAATCTAGGCGGATTTCTTCCCTTTTCTAGCAATTCCCCTGATTATCGAAACCCGCTCCTTGGCACTAGTGAATTGCTATCAGAAGTCGCTATAACAAATGTATTGAGTTCCTAATTCGAAGAATCGGTCGGTCTAACGACTTCTTATTAATGCTATCTACCCAAAAGTTGGAAACTCAATAGCTCGCTTCCCTGCTTCCTTTCCATCCCTTGAAGCAATTCCTTGAACAATAGAACAAGAAAGAGGTATCTTCCTGGCTCTTCTTCCTAGTCCTAGATTTGAGTTACTAGCATCGTTAACCGGACGAGATACAATTCAAGGTCGGAGTCTTAGCTCCACCGATAGGAACATTCAAGGGAAGTGCCTTAACTACAAAATTATCTCTTTCTATCACGTAGGGAAAGGATGTCGAGGCTCCTTATGCTGTCCTTTCAAGTCGAATGTCAGAATCAGGTAAGGTAGCTTATGTCATAGGAACAACAGGTGGGGACCTAGCCCCCTGTGACTTAGGGGATAATACATATTATATTTATTATCAGTGATAGTGAACATGATAGAGAGTGAGTGCCAAAAGGCATCACTCCAAGGACGACTCCCATACAATTCTTGCAAGAGCTGGAGAAGCGTCTACGAGTAAAGCACCATATACATATAACTGCTTGCCACCTACGCTCCACCATCCATTCCAAGTTTAGGAACCTAGGTAATAGTATCCCGATCAAAGAGCTAATGAATGGGATGAGTAGAAAATCGAGTGTATTGGACGCGGTTCAACTAGCAGACACTCTTGTAACAGCTGGAGTAAGAAGTCCCCAAGTGAGCGTATTATGGGGGACCGTCAAGCACATCTGACAACGGTCAAGGGCGATCTCGTTGTTAGATATCTCAGGTCGGAGTAAGGTGCCATCGGACGTCCAACATGCAGTCTCACGATCGGGCATGAGTGTCCGGAAGTTGTCATTGTATACTCTCGCGGGTCGGAAGGCGGCGGGGGAAGGAAAGGGAGACTGGGCGAGATCTATCAAAAGGGTATTCCCCATACAAATAGAGGCGCCTATCCAAAAGATACTTCGAAGGCTTCGGGATCAAGGTCTCATTAGTCGAAGAAGACTTGCCAACTTTACGTGTTAAGTCACCTTCTACAATCAGATCTGAGAGTTTGTCATGTTGGCTTAACCGAATATGTGCTTAATGAGTTTGGGTGGTTGTACATTGAGCGTATTGGCCCCGGAAGGAGTATGCCAAGCATAAATCTGAGTACGCCCAACGTACTCAGTTGTTTGACTTTTGGATTGACTTCCATGGGTTTGGGCCATATTTTGGGCTTTAAGGGTTTGGTCCTTGTTGGGCCATTGGACTTCTGACTTTAGGCTATGGATGGATTATGGGCCTTCTTGAGATTAGGTCCATGTTGATTTTGGGTCCAATTAGGAAGTTGGTTCATAATGGGACTTGGGATGTCATAAAGGAATTTGGGCCTTTTAGAGTAAATGGGTCGGGCCTTAGTTTTGGGTCAAGTAGGGAAAAGGGTAAAATGGTCTTTTACCCTGGATGTTGGACAAGTAATTTAGATTCTTGATTGTGGGTCGAGATAAAATTATTAATTGGATATTATTTGATGATGATAGCACGGGGATTTTTCTGACCAGTATACCGACATTTTATCTATGAGATTCAACAGCTTGACGTAAGTTTCCTCACTGTATATGGCGGGTCGAAGGCACCAATGCCAGCCCATGGTTATTATGATTATGATGTTAGTTGTCTGTGTGACTCTTGCATATATGATATATGTTATGTGCATGTATGTGTACCGGACAGCGCCCAATGTCGGGCGGGGACTGATGATTATATTGTATGTTATTTTTCTTTGTGATACTTGCATGTGTTTATGTGTTTACATGTATACTGGGCGGGGCCCGATAACTGACATACCTATTCCGGGCGGGGCCCAATGTCGAGCAGGATCCGATGTCGAGCGGGGCCCGATGACGAGCGGGGACCATTATATGTTTGATTTGTCTGGTATGTGGTATTTTGGGGGATTCACTAAGCTTTCTGCTTATGGTTTTCAGCTTGTGTTTCAGGTACCTTTGGTTCGAAGGGGAAGAGCCCGGGTTGATTTCAGCTAGAGATGCTCACGAAAACTGGATTCGGGTATAGGATCCGATCCGATCTGGAAACCGGATTTGGTCAAAACCGGATTTGACCGAACCGGATCAGATTAATCCGGTGACCGGATCCAAACCGGTTTCATGCTTCGGATAACATTTCGGATTAGACCCCGGATCGCAAACCAGATTCGAGTCAAACCGTATCCAAATCCGGATCCAAACCGTTTTTTTAACGTTAAAAAACGGGAATTTTTTTGTAGCCGTTGGAACCCTCAAAAAACGGCTAGTTTGACTTTTCTTGACTTTTTGGCCCTTCTAAACACATATAAATACATTTCATTTGCTACATTTCCATTTTACAGAAATTTCTACTACTTTATACTTCAATTTTCATAATCCTCCAAAAAATGAGCTCGATAAATTCTATCGCGGGTCAAGATTTGGATGCAACAGTGGTTAAAATCTTACCAACCTCTCGGAATAAAGAAGTGTGGGAACATTATGATTTGTGTTTGTTGTCGAAAGGGAAGGAAAAAGCAAGGTGCAAGCAATGCGGGTTGTTTTTGGGAAAAGATGGCAATAGTACGTTGAGGAGTCATATAACAAAAACGTGTCTGGTTGTAAAAGGTCAAGGCGATCTGGATCAACCAAATATTACTCCCGACGGTTCGATCTTTATTTACAACAATGATGACATTCGTGAAAGCTTTTGCAAGTTTGTCATTCAAGAGGGCTTGCCTTTCAACCACTTCGACAACCCACGATTAACAAGGATTTTGCGGGAAAAAATGCAACCACAATACCGGCAAGTAAGTCGCACTTCTCTTAGACGTGATGCTTTAAAGTATTGGGATATAGCCAAAAAAGATATGCAGTTGGGATTTTTAAATATAAAAATCGGTGTTTCTTTAACTTGTGATGTTTGGCCCTCCACCGGAAGTTGTCCCAAAAGCTATCTTGTCGTCACGGCACATTGGATAGATCCCTCTACTTGGGTAATGAACAAACGAGTTATTGCTTTTGAACTTTTTGCGCATCCTCACACGGGGGCACGATTATTTGCAATTTTAGTAAGCGTTATAGAGACTTATAATTTACGCGACAAAATCTTCTCTATTTCGTTTGACAATGCAAGTAACAATACCGTCGCGGCAAAAAGATTAATTGCAAAATATAAACCTATTTTGGATGGCTCATTTTTTCATACTAGATGTGTTTGTCACATTATTAATCTTGCGGTACAAGATGGTTTAAAAATGATAGATTCGACGATTGAAAAATTCAAAACTGTGTTAACTAGAGTTTTTGGAAAAAATAAAGCTACAATGGAAAAATATCGAAAGTTTGCCATTTCCATTAACGTAACTCCATATAGTCCTCATTGGGATGTTGACACTAGATGGAGTTCAACATGCATGATGTTTGAAAGTTTGACACGTCAAAAAATTGCTTTGCAATTATTTTACGACACAATTTCAAAAGGAAAAAACCCGGTTTCGGATTATGATTAGGATTTGATGGAAGAGTTTGTGGAAATGTTAAAAGTTTTTAAGCAATCAACCACTTTTTTATCGGGCGTGTATTACCCTACAAGTCCGTTATTACTAAATGAATTATGGTTGATGTCCGCGCAATTGAAGCGTTTTGAACAAAGAAATGATATATTTGTTTTGGTTACTAGACCAATGAGACAAAAACTAGTCAAATATTTCAAAGAAATGCCACCACTTTTTACTCGTGCCGCGACATTAAACTCATGTATCAATGTTACGGGTGTAGAGGTTTTGATTACCAAAATTTCTATCTCTTTAAATTTGCACAAAGATGACTCAAACTACATCCGTAACCAAATACACACTTTTAATAATACTTTTACTAATTTGTTTGACATTTACGCTACAAAATATGGCAATATGTCAAACACTTTTGCAAGTGTAACCGACTCTACTATTGGTGCATCGGATAGTAGTGGGGGTCGAACGGATTTTCATATCGACCTCTATAACTACCCTTTGGAGGAACAAAACGAAAGAATACGCACATTAACCCCTAGTAGCGAACTTGGAATTTATATGGGGTCAAACTTTTTAAAATTAATGAGTGCACCACAATTTAAAATTTTTGATATTTTGGCTTGGTGGAGAGAAAAGGAAGCACAATTTCCTATTCTCTCCGTCATGGCCCGCGGTTAACTAACCGTCCAAGCTTCCACGGTAGCTTCGGAATCCGCTTTTTCTTTTAGTGGTAGAATTTTATCAAAGTTGAGGACGAATCTTACCCCGGTTGCGGTAGAGGTTTGCGTTTGCTTGAAGGATTACTTGGATTCGGTGGAACGTATACAACACTTGGCATCACTAGAAGGCCACTAGCACAAAATGTTGAAGTGGAGATCATGTATGAAGAATATGCACAACGCTTATCAACACCTCCGGAAGACGAAGACGACGACGATGAAGACGAAGACGAAGATGAAGAATATTGTATTGATGAGACCCCTAAATATTTGTGTGGCGGTTGAAGAATATTTTAGTGAAGGCGACAAGAAATGGAAGACCACAAAAACTATTTCTATTTTGCTAAATGTTATAATGCCACTTTATTATTATTATTATTATTAGTTAACTAGTTTGAAAACTCTTTCTAATTCGACATTTGATGTATGTTTTAACTATTTTAATTAACCTATGTTGCATTTTGTGTTATATATAAGTTCCAAAAAATGTTTTTTTTTTAAATGGAAAAAATCGGATCAGATCTCGGATCGGATACAAACCGGATCGGATTAAACTGATTCGGACTCGGGGGAGGAAAAACCGGTCAAAACCGGTTTGAAACCGGATCGGATCTAGGCTAAATTCGGATTGGCTTTGACGTCACGGAACCGGATCGGATTCGGATCCGAGGTTTGTGCATCTCTAATTGCAGCACACACACCACATTATTCCAGATTTCTATTACTATGATGTACTTTGATGTTTATTGATACACTCTGATTCACTATAGTTTCTCTGATGTTGTTTTGGATAATGGTTTATTTAATTTAAAAATCGAAATTTTTAATCTTAATTTTTGGGACGTTACAAATTTTCCATCAAAGACTTGGGGAAGTTAAGTTATTTTTTAGGTCTTGAGGTTATCTATACCTCCGATGGTTTATTTCTCACTCAAACAAAATATGCCTTGGATATTTTGTCAAGATCATGTCTCTTGGATAGAAAATTGATCCATACTCCCCTTGCTACATCTGAATCCCTTGCAATTCATGGTGAACCTTTTCATGACCAAACTTTCTATCATTCCCTCATTGGTCCCTTGTAATACCACACCATTACCCGCTATGATTTATCTTATGCAGTAAATCAAGTCAGTCAATTCTTACATGCACCAACTACTACTCACTTCCAAGTTGTGAAAAAAATACTACGATATCTCAAGGGTACAATCTCTTTTGGTCTCACTTATAGAACATCATTCACCATTCCTCTTATTGCATACTCGGATGTTGATTGGGCACGGTCTATTGAAACAAGGTGTTCCACTTATGGATACTCAATCTTTCTTGGTGCTAATATTGTTTCTTGGAATGCTAAGAAACAGCCTACAATGTCATGTTCTGGTTGTGAGTCGGAATATAGAGCGATGGCTAACTCAACTTCTGGAATCAATCGGATTACTCATCTCCTACGTGAGCTTCGTATTCCAATTTCGTATACGCCAAGTCTATATTATGAGAACAAAAGTGTCATCTTCTTAAGCCAAAATCTAGTTTCCCGCGAACGTGCAAGCATATCGACATATATTATCACTTTATTAGAGAGTTGGTCACTTCTGGGAAGTTAAACACTCGGTTCATTCCTACTACACAAATGGGGGCAGATCACTTTACTAAAAGCCTGCCACAACCTTTATTTGAGCACTTTCCAAGTTTTGTGTTGGTTCCCCACCTTCTCGCTTGAAAGCGGTTATTAACAATAAGAATGATGAACCGAATCTACACTTATCTATTCCTAGATTATAGTATATTGTTGTATTTAAATTAGCTTATCATGTATAATTATAAATGATATATATATATATATATATATATTATATATATATATATATATATATATATATATATATACCTTAAGGGTATATAAGCTTAGGTACCCAAACTCATCATACTACGTCGTTTTGTATCATATATATACATTGTAACTGTCCAATGTTCTTATAATTCAACTTCTAACTTGATTTACTTCCAAGATTTTTATAAATTTCACATTTATCTTACTCTTACATAATTTTCATTTTCAACTATAATATATATAGCCTAGTAGGTGTTCGGCAAAAAGATGTGATGTAAGAGGAAGATAATAGTGAAATTTCGAAAATCTTGAAAGTAAATCAAGTCAGGGGTTAAAGTTTAAGAACATTATAATGAATATATCAAACAAAACGACATATTATGGTGAGTTTGGGTACCGAAGCTTATATACCCTTAAGGGTATATTCACTTTTCCCTATATATATAGATATATATATATATATATATATATATATATATATATATATATATATATATATATATATATATATATATATATACACAACACTCCAGAATCATTGGAGTTCCATTTAATTGCATTATCATACCCAATTAATAACATAAAAAGAATCAAAGATATAATTAAAACTATTAAAAAGATTATATGTAGCTTTTAACTTTACACGAAAAAAGCTATACAGGTATTTCATTGTATAAAGTTGGAGCTCGCTAAGCAATAACTATTGCGGTAGTAGCCAACTTAATTGTGACTACCCGCTAAGAAAAAGTTTTACAATAACTAGTTTAACACAAAGGGTGAAAACACAAGGAATAAGATCAAATAATTTCACAAAGGAAGCAAATAGTAAGGTTCATATCCATATTCATAAAAAACATGACATCTTATTGCATCTATCAAGAGTTAAAGAATTTGAAAGGAAGCTAAGGAAGACCTAGTACTAGTTCAAATCCTTTCTTCACTGGTATGAGGCTATGCATTTCTTGGCTTCTTCAAATAATTTCTATACAGCATGATCGCAAATGGCATCCCAAAGGCATAGAAATCGAAATTCCAATAAAACCAAAGGTTATATAACTTTTTGGCGCAATTGCATTCATGCAAGCACCGTAGGTTGTACCGAGTGCAACCAATGAAATCTGCAATTCCAACTGCAAAGGGAAAGCATCTGTGAGTATGTAAATCATGTGAACTGACATGTAGAACCCCATGGAATTGGCAAACAGAAATATACTGTATGCTATTGGATTTTCGGTACCCATAATAGCAGTTCCTGCGGTGTGTCGTTTAATAGAAGTGGTAATATTCGTTGTAGATGATAATGTATTATTGCCTGCGGATGGAATGGAATCATCCTGCCAAGCACCTCCCGGAGGACTAAGTGATGGTTGATATGTTGCAGTTGTGATCAGAATAACAACCACAAGAAGGGTATTTCTTACTATGCTAGGAGATTCGTTAAGGTTATTATATTTAAAGTAGTCTAAAATAGCTCGAGCTGGAGAACGTGAGTTTTCATTTCTTGTGTCAGGATGGTTTGGTCCTTGTTGATATGGTGGAGATTGTATGTTTTCAGATTTTAAAGCTCCCGCTTGGACAAGAATCTCTTCAGTTTCCCGATCACCAGCTTCACTTTGGAACATTAGTAACATATCAAGAGGAGTTAAACCTCTTTTCTTTAAGGAATTCAACTCAACCTTCTCCTTGCTGGTAACTTGATCGTTAAGTAGAAAGTCAACCACCTATCAAAAACATAAACTTTGACCAAAAAATTCCTAAAGACTGGAGGTACACGATACAAAAGATAGCCTACGTACCTCATATTGCTTCATGGAGACAGAAAGGTATATACAAGACTAACGGCCTATACAAGATTCGAGGTAAAAACCTAGAACGATATGCAGATAAAGTTAAGGCGTTAACAAAGCAGTTTATAAACTTCAAGTTGGAGCATATACCAACATCAAAAACAAAAGGGCGGACGCATTGAGAAAGTTAGCATCCTTAACATTACCACATTTAACCAAGAAAATGCTAGTGGAAATAGTCTAAACCAAATCAATTGAGAAAGCATCGGTGATGTCAATGGTAGAATAGTTCAATGACTGGAAGAAGCCGATAATAGAATATCTGTTGGAAGGAAAAATGCCACATGAAGCTAAACAAGCCCAAAAATTACGAATTAAGGCACTATCTTTTATGGTGCATATTGGAGTCTTATACAATAAAGGATACTTGGCACCACGTTTACGCTGCGTAACTAGCAAGGAAGCAGAATACCTCATAAGAGAAATGCATGAAGGTAGCGCAGGAGCACAATAGGGTGCACGAAGAATAGTGAGGAAATTAGCGAGTATAGGGTACTACTGGCCGACCATGTACCAAGATATGAAAAACATAATCTATAAATGTGAGAAATGCCAAAAGTTTGCGCCGATCCCGAGGAAATCATCTACGCCAATGATTAGTGTCACACCCCGAAACCGATGGCGGAAACGTTCCGGGGCGGAGGACGTCATGTATAGTATCAGAACCAATGAATAATAGCAATCATAGCAACACAACCAATACAGTGCATACTAAAATAAAAATGTTTACATCAGTTCTGAAACTTGTTTGAATTACATCATATAACTTGTATGAATATAACATTAAACTCTTATTGCTTCAACTCTTCAAAAACCCAGCAGGCACCTGTCTACTGATTTCCTGAGAATACAAGCAGTTTAAAAGAGTATCAGCATAAACCTGGTGAGTTCATAAGCGGTGGTTTGTAGTGAAAATCGTTGATGAGTTCGGAAAATATTTGTATAGTTTCAACAAAATCCGATGTTTTCCTTAGCAAGAATGTAGTGTTACCAGTTCTGTAATAAACCATGAATTTATGTATGTTTCCAAGAAAATCTGATATTTTCTTTAGTGAAAAGGTAGCGTTATCAATTTCGTATAAAACCATGAATGTTCGTTACTGAAAACTGTAGTGATGTGTGAAAATACTACCTCATGTGACTAGCTAAAACTAATCCTGAAGTCTAAGTATTTTATATGTGAAACCATTGCATAATCGGTTCTGTTTGAAAACCCTGGCTTTAGCCGGTATACTTAGTGTGCATCAGTTCTATTTAGTAAAAATAAAACTGTTGAAGAGGGTTAAGTTGTAAACTAAAGGTGATTTATACATAATGTGAATCGTATAACCATGCTTGATATGACTAGAGACCTTTCCAACGTTCTTCAGGCGTCGAGTTAAATGACATTTGTACATCTCAGGCGTGCCCGCCTAACTGTAGCTAGCAGTCCAGATGTGGGATTGTCAGTCCCGAATAGATCTATTCACAAATCTCACGCTCTCCCTCCAGGAGACTCTCGTTATACAGTGGTAGGATTTATCCCTGTACACCTAAGGGTACAGTAGTGAAGTAGCGCCTCACAGTATCGTACAATCTAGTTTACATGTAGTGTAGTAGCGTTCTACCGTTGTGAAAATCCATATGTATACCGTATATAATGATAATTACAGTTATGAAAAACCATGATAAAGTGGTGATGTAACTGTAAACTATTTCTGTCTTCGTGCATATGTTTAATAGTGAAAGTTTCTGTACTCGTGATGTTTAGAAAATCCCAAACTATACCGATTATAGTTTGCATGTATAGTGAATATCGTGTCCGGAAAACTATGCAAATTTTGGTGAAAACGTCCCTTATGCTCAACACAGTACAAAAGAGTTAAAGTATGAGATTTGCATAAGTTTTGAAAACATTTATGTTTAGCTTCTATTCCCCCCTGAAAACATTAAAAATACGGAAAATGTAGGGGTATGAACTCACAGTTCTTGCGTGAAATCGTTGACTGAAACGAAGATCCTCGAGTTGTTGCACGTGACACTTAACGGAATCCTATTATCAAATAAATACGTATGTGTATCTAAATTAGCGACTTCGTTAGATAACGTGTTAGAGGTACACTTGAATTCGGTTGAGGAATGTTACCGGGACTTGATCGAATCGAAGAAGGTGAGTTTTCAGCCAAAAACACCATTTAAAAGGTGTTTACGGTCGAAGAGGAGTTTACGGTTCTTGAAGGATTGGACCGTAAACTCAAGAACAGAGTTTACGGTTTCTGAAGTTTGGACCGTAAACTCAAGAACAGAGTTTACGGTTTCTGAAGCTTGGACCGTAAACTCAAGAACAGAGTTTACGGTTTCTGAAGGTGGACCGTAAACTCAAGAAAAATGGTTATGCTTGCTGATTTCGAAGAGATAATCGTTTCCAGGCGTTCCCAGGTGACTCCAAACGTGGTTTCTCGATGTTTTCCGAAGCTTGAAGGCGTTTTGAGTGTTTACGGTTAAGATTCTTAGAGAGAGAAGGAGAGAGTTTTTGGCCAGAAATGTTCTAATGAAGGTGGAGGCATCGTATTTATAGGGGTGTAGTGGGGGGGGTCCACTCTTCACTGACCGTAAACAGGTTTACGGTCGTAAACGAGTTTACGGCCGTAAACACGTTTACGGTCGTAATCTCATTTAGACCGCAAATGCTTGATTTTTCGAGATATTCAGGTTTCTGCGCGATTTTTGGTTCCAACTCGTAAATAGTTTAATTGAATATAACTAGATTATTTTCTAAACCAAAAAAGTTTGACGGAAAAGTTAACAAATTCGAAATTTTATTAACGGAAATCGCGTAACGGAAACGGACAAAGTTTCGGGTTGTCACATCATCCCCCTGTTAGAGGGAATTTCGTCCCGAAATTCGAACATAGAATACAAATCATGGATTAGGAAAGAGATGCGGATATTTCTGTTTCATCTGATCTTCGCGCTCCCAAGTGAATTCACGTCCCCACTTGGCATTCCAGCGAACCTTCACTATCGGGATGCGACTTTGTTTCGTTCGTTTGACTTCTCGATCCATGATTTCGACAGGTTCTTCCACGAAGTTGAGGTTCTCGTTGATTTCAATCTTGTCGAGAGGCATCACAAGTGTCTCATCGGATAGACACTTCTTTAGGTTCGACACGTGGAACACAGTATGGATGTTGCTGAGCTCTCGGGGTAACTGAAGTTTGTATGCCACGGGACCGATCCTTGCAAGGATTTCGAACGGTCCAATGTACCTTGGGTTTAGCTTTCCACGTTTCCCAAAACGTATCATGCCTTTCCAGGGTGAGACCTTTAGAAGGACGCGGTCACCGACCTAGAACTCCAAGAGTTTTCGTCTCTTATCGGCGTAGCTCTTTTGTCTATCTCGTGAGGCTTTCAGTCGTTCTCGGATTTGTATAATTTTCTCAGTTGTTTCTCGGATGATCTTAGGAACAGTGAGAGTACTGTCGGGGGCTTGACCCCTGGCTAGCTGCGTGTCACCCACCTCAGCCCAGCATAGAGGGGATCTGCACTTACGGCCATAGAGGGCTTCAAACGGCGCAGCCTTGATGCTGGTATGGTAGCTGTTGTTGTAGGAAAATTCAACCAAGGGAAGATGAGTGTCCCATGATGCGCCGAAATCAATGACGCAAGCTCTCAACATGTCTTCCAATGTCTGAATTGTTCTCTCACTCTGTCCATCAGTCTGCGGATGATAAGTCGTGCTCATGTCCAATTTATTTCCAAGAGCTTTCTGTAGTGACTGCCAAAACCTCGATGTAAACTTGCTATCTCGATCGGAGATAATGGATGCAGGTACACCATGAAGGCGAACTATCTCTTGAATGTAGATCCGTGTGAGTCTCTCCATCTTGAAGTTTTCTTTGATTGGCAGGAAGTGGGCGGACTTCGTTAATCGATCGACAATTACCCAGATGGCATCGTGCCCACTCGGAGATCTGGGTAACTTGGTGATAAAATCCATGGTTATCCTTTCCCACTTCCACTCAGGTATTTCCGGCTGCTGAAGTAAACCTGAGGGCTTTTGGTATTCTACTTTTACCTTGGCACAAGTCAGGCACTTGCCCACGAAAGTAGCAATCCCCTGCTTTCATGTTTGGCCACCAATAGAGCTGTTTGAGATCCAAGTACATCTTATCCGAACCTGGGTGAACGGAGTATTTCGTCTTGTGAGCCTCATTCATGACAACCTCTCTGTACCCGCCGAACTTTGGGGTCCAGATCCGGTTCATGAAATAGTACACTCCGTCTCCTTTGACCTCCAAGTTCTTGTCCATTCCTCGCAGTGACTCATTTGCCACGTTCTCGGGTTTTAAGGCTTCCAGCTGAGCCTCTCTAATTTGCGCGGTTAAATGGGAATGGATGGTCATTGTTAGTGCCTTCACCTTACGTTCTGAATACTCCTTTCGACTGAGGGCATCTGCTACCACATTGGCCTTTCCGGGATGATAGCGAATTTCGCACTCGTAGTCACTAAGTAACTCTACCCATCGCCGTTGTCTCATGTTTAACTCCTTTTGATCGAAAATATGTTGCAAGCTCTTATGGTCGGTGAAGATAGTGCACTTGGTTCCATAGAGATAGTGTCTCCAGATCTTTAACGCAAAGACCACTGCTCCCAACTCCAAATCATGGGTTGTGTAATTGACTCGTGTGTTTTCAACTGCCTCGAGGCATAGGCGATAACCTTTCCCTCTGCATGAGCACACACCCAGGCCCTGATTGGATGCATCACAGTAGACAACGAAGTCCTCTGTCCCTTCAGGCAGGGACAAGATAGGTGCGCTGCATAGGGCCTGCTTCAATGTTTGAAACGCAGTGTCTTGCTTAACTCCCGAACTAAAGGTTACACCTTTCTGTATTAGGGTAGTTAACGGCTTAGCGATTCTAGAGAAGTTCTGGATGAACCTGCGATAATAGCCCGCGAGACCCAAGAATTGCCGGATTTC